TTCCAGTTCATCCCATCAGAGGGTCCCCTCCCCCTAAATCTCACGGACCTGTCCACCAAGGAATGTCACTCAAATCGCCTATCAGTACGTTAATCTACTACCATGCCCTGGTCTACAATTGCACAGGACCCCTGATGGGGTTTAGGTAGAGACAGCATGCCCCCGCCCCCCACCATTCAGCCTGAAACAGCTACTGAAGACCTCCTCCCGAATGTCAAAGATCTTTCATTGTCCATCTGTCTGGGGGGGAATGTAGAGACTGCTTTTAGGCCCCAGGCTTGAGCACTAGGAACCTGAGTGAGGAGGAAGGGCCCACAGTGACCACAGGGCTGGATACAAACAGACTCACTAGGGGACCCACCTCAAAATATCCATAAGACCTGGCTGACTGACCAATGGGCTACTTACACCCGGACACAGACACCAAAAAGGAAAATTCCATACATTCCCATACCTCCTCATTTCCCCCTTAACTCCAGCCACCCCCCCCCGGCCCCCACTGCCTCCTTGCCGATAGTCTCTCCCTTGCTGTCCTGCCCACAGCTCCTTCGCAGTGTATTCAGTGAACTTCTATCTCCTCTCTTCTGCCCTGAGTGAATTCTCCCACCTCCCATGCCCCTGGCCTCCACCCTACTGGGTCAGCCCAAAGAGGGGCCCTGTGTTGTTGGTCTGGGGGGAGGGGTGCCCTGTGCTGTTGGCCTGGGGGAGGGGCGCCCTGTGCTGTTGGCCTGGGGGGAGGGGGGCCCTGTGTCGTTGGTCTGGGGGGAGGGGGGCCCTGTGTCGTTGGTCTTGGGGGGGGGGGGGCCCTGTGTCGTTGGTCTGGGGGGGCAGGGCCCTGTGTCTTTGGTCTGGGGGGGCAGGGCCCTGTGTTGTTGGTCGCAGTGGTCTGGAGTGGAGTCTTCACCTCATTGAACCGGAAGGAGAGTAAAGGGAGGGAGCGGTCTTGGTTCAAATACCACAGACTCTCACCTTTTTATTACCAAATTTTTGTAAGTGTTCTTAAACGATTTTTCATTTTCTGTTCATCCTTTGGACCCTTTTCGGAAGCTTTAAATATTTTTTAGGCGTTGTTCACTAGTTTTCACCGGTTTCACGGGGGTCTGCTGGCTGTCTATCTCTGAAGGCAGAGATTTGTTCTGTTCTGTTTTGTTTTCTCCGTCTCTCTGTTACACATACAAAATCTTATGTAGAGCTGGGCACAGAATAGAGGCTCAAGAAAGAGTTTTGTTGTTGTTGTTGTTTTTTTAAGATTTTATTTACTTATTTGACACAGAGAGAGCGAGCACAAGCAGGGGGAGTGGCAGGCCGAGGGAGAAGCAGGCTCCCTGCTGAGCAGGGAGCCTGATGTGGGGCTCAATCCCAGGACCCCGGGATCATGACCTGAGCCGAAGGCAGACGCTTAACCGACTGAGCCACTCAGGTGCCCAAGTTTGTTTTTTTTTTTTTTTTTAAGATTTATTTGAGAGAGAGCATGGGGAGGGGAGACAGAAGGAGAGTAAGAGAGATTTCTTAAGCAGATTCCACACTGAACCTGGGGCCCCATGCGGGCCTCGATCTCATGATCCTGAGATCAGGACCTGAGCCGAAAACAAGAGCCGACTGAGCCACCCAGGCACCCGATTAAGAAAGAGTTCTTGAGTGAACGGGCCTCAGAAAACAATTTGATCCTTCCTCTCCCCTCTGTTGCTAAATTTTCCTTGACAAATGCTTCCCTCCCTGCCCAGAACGAAAACTCAGGGAGGTCCCTCAGCTGTCTCTCAGTTAACATCTGACGATAAAAAGTCCTCCGTCCTGCCTTCTTGCAGTGTCAAGGGTATAATCCAGTCTCATAATGACAGAACTCCAACTTGCATTGAAAATTGTGGTTTCCTGACCCCCGACCCTGGCTCTGGACCTGGAGTGATCCATTTGTCTGCCCACCCCCCCAAGCCTCCAGGTCTCAAGCTGCCTTTTCCGAATGTCCTCCCCGTAGGATCAGCCCCCAAGGGAGATGGGGTGTATTTGTGTCCCGTGGCTTCTGTAACAAGCTATAGTGGCTGATTTAACAACGCAAGACTATTCTCTGCATTTATGGAGACCAGAAGTCCCAAATCAGTGTCACTGGGCTAACGTCAAGGCGTGGGCAAGCTGCCTCCTTCTGGAGCCTCCAGGGGAGAATCCATGCAGGACCTGTCTCAGCTTCCAGAGCTGAGCCCCTCGCATCCTTGGGCTCGTGGCCCCTTCCTCCATCTTCAAAGCGGGGAGCCTAGTATCGTGCTTCGGTCACATACCTGCTGCTCCTGTGTCAGAGCGCCCTCCATCTCCCTCTCCGAGGATACCTGGGGTCACATCGGGGGCGCCCCTGGACAATCCAGGATCCTCTGCCCACCTCAAGATGCTGACCTCAGCCGCATCTGCGAGGTCCTTTTGTCAGACGGGGGAACATTCACAGGGTCCAGGGATGAGGCCCTGGATGTCTTGGGGCCATGGATCAGCCTGCCACAGGGAATTAGGGCCTAAGGACAGAGAGTCTTACGTGGCTGGCTCTGCTGTGGCCTGGCGTGGCTAGTGACCAATGCTGATTTTTTTTTTCCTCCTGTGGGGGCTGCCTGAGAGGGGGACCTTTTGAGGGACCTCCCCAGGGACCCCAGCTGCAATTCCCCTGAGGGGCTTGATGCTCCCAGCTGCCGGATCTGATGCCCCTTCATTGTAAGCCCCACCGTCTACCCTCAGCTGGGGTGCCCAAAGTCCCCGAGGGTCCTCTCAGTCAAGTCCCATTTGGAGGGGTCCTGCGTGGTCTCTGGGAATTGGGTGCCTTTGTACTCCTCCAATCTGTGGCTCACTCCCAGCATGGCTCTCTTGACTCACAGTGTGCTCCCCGGGCTCTAGGCTGAGGTCGCGTGTGGCACCGGGGTCACCGCCCGGCCTGGCTCAGGTCCGCCTGGGCTTGACCCCCCCCCCCAGCCTGGCCACATACTAGCCATGGGCCCTTTGGAGAGCTACTCACCTTTTTGTGTGTGACTTGGCACAGAATAAGAACTTTGAAAAACATTGACTAAACCAGCCAGCTGGCCCCCAAGCCCCAGGGGACGCATGCTCGGCTTCCTAAGGAGAACCGTCCCCACACCTGCCTCTAGGCACCTCAGATTTGGGGTGGGGTGGATCCCAACCCCCTGGCTGCACTGAGGCTTTGAAACCTTAGCTGAAACTGAGCCGGAAAGAAGAGCCTTAAAACATCCTGTCACGTTGGGGTCTGGGCGGAAGACAGGGAGGGGCCTGGAGGAGAGACCAGGAAGGGGTTGTGGGGTGCTGGCCAAGGCCTAGGGGCTCCGAACGGGCCATGGCTTCTGCCATGTTCCTCTTCTTGCCCCACGGCTTTTGTTTTTTGTTTTTTTTAAACTAAACCTTTTATTTTGCGATGACTATAGAGTACATACAGCTTCTCAGTGTTTTACATAGAAAAATTTCAAGCCTTCAGAAAAGCTGTGAGAAGGGCACAAGGACACGCATAGACCCCTCACCTGCATTCACCCATTCGTATCTGCTTGAGGTCCTAGTTTTTAATCTATTACCCAGACCTATATAGACACGCAGAGAAGTAAACTTAGAAATATGGACATACTCTGTCCACCAGGAAATCTATTTCTCAAGACTCATATGAATGAGTCTCTCTTTTATATCTACATATATAATGAGTTTATATATGAGTTTATTTACACATAATGAGTGTGTGTGTGTGTGTGTGTGTGTGTGTGTGTATTTTCCCCCTTTCTCTGCCTGTGTCGTGGGTCTAGAAACTCTAACAGCTCCAGGGTAATAAACCCAACTAACACCGGCTCAATCCTGGATAAACATTATCCTGCACCTCTCTGAGGACGCTGATTCCAGGGTGACGCAGGAGAAGGCTTCAACGAGCCTGGAACATACCGGCAGAAGGGAATTGTTCAGAGAATGACAGGCACTTGGCAGAAGGACAAGCAGGCAGCTTGAAAGGGGTCCCACTGGCCAAATCCGGGACAGTTTGAGCATCCCACATCAATCGTTGCAGTAATGGATTCTAACCCATTGACGAAAACAGGAAAGCAGGATGTAACCAACTGATATAAACAAAGGAGGAAAAACTCCTTTATAGAAAAAAAACAGCATGCCTTCACACTGAGCCATCCAGTTCCCATCCAACGCCACGGGGCTCTCCCTCGCTTTGCCCTTCCAGGTTTGTGTCTCCTTTCTTTCCTGGAAAGAACCAGGGTTTGAAGCAATGCCACCGCATTTATCCTAGTGATGCTCTTTCCTGTAATACTCATGCCGTTGTTGCAGAATCGCTATCCTGATACCACGACCCGTAATAAACCTACTAAGGAGAGGTCAAGATTTATTTGCAGTTCTTTTTGACCTTAGGATCTCAATTGCACGGAGGATGCCCAGTGTTTAAAACTGGAAGAGGCACCTTCTGAAATGGGCTTTGAGGGATGCATAGGAGTCTCCCGGGAAGAGACAGGGGGAGGGACCTGCATGTGCAAAAGGCAGGGGCATCAAAGAGTGGTGTGTCCCGCACCCCCCACACCATGGCTGGAGGCCAGTGTTTGTTCACAGGGCAAGAGGATAACGAAGGATGGGTCTGGAGAGGAGCAGTGGTGGGCAGGGGTAATGGCTTGGGAGTGCCTTGAATGTCAGGCAAGGAGATCGGGGTGGATGAGGCAGGCCCTGGGGGGTTCTGAGAGGCCTCAGAGTTCAGAAAATGTGAAGGGGCAGATTGGCAAGCCAGTGGGGGTGGTTGCAACCATGGGACACGTGGCCCAAGCTGCCAAGAAGGCACTTTTTCTCTGGAAACCTCTGTACCTCATCTGTGACATGGGTAGAAGAGGGGACCCCTTCCCAGGGCTGCCCGGGGACTCCCCAAGAGCCAAACCCGGCCTTCGGGGTCTAAGGTAGGGCCTGGGCTGCTCACAGGCTCGCTGTGCTCTGTGACTTGTCAGCTTCCTGTTTCTCCTCCCTCGGGGGCTGCTTCAAAAGCACAGCTTGCTCTCAAAACAAAGGAAGACAGTCCTCGACTGCAGAGGAAGCAGGAAGAGCCGACCCTGCTCGGAGCCCAGCTGCTCGGGCCTGGGACCAGCGGGATGGAGTCCGTGGCCCTGTACAGCTTCCAGGCCACGGAGAGTGATGAGCTGGCCTTCAACAAGGGGGACACACTCAAGGTAGGGTGACGGGGATGGGCTGAGTTGGGAGGGCGTTAAAAATCAGGGGCCCAGGACAGCCCCCCAAACAGGGTCCAGCTTCCAGAGGAGGACAGGCCCCGCTTCTCCAGGTATTGGCTGTGTGATTCTGGGCAAGCCGCCTCCTCCCGCTGAGCCTCAGTGTCCCCATCTTGGAAATGGGGAGATAACTGTGACCCGGCCTTCAGGGGGCGCGTTGTGAGGATTCAAGGAGACGTTAGCTTAGTGCCTGGCAGGAGTCGGTTCAACGCCCGGTTTGCCCGGGAAGAGTTTGAAGAGACAGTTGAAAAGAGGGAGAGAGGGATAGAAAAGCTTTCAGGATAAAGAACTGTGATTTCAGTGTGGAGAAGGAGCTTCCCAGCAGTGTGGGGGAAAGGGAAAAGAAAGTCATACCACGGCTTGATTCTCGAACCTTCATTCTGTCTCCGAGAGACTGAACAGCCGGGGTTGGGGTGCAGGGGCGTGATGCTCCCCAAGAGGAACCATGTCCCCTTAAGGAATCCCCTTCCTCTCTCCACCTGAGCTGCTGGCTGGGGGCCCTGGGGACATGTGGCCCGCGGGCGACAGGGGCAGGCTTAGCCCCAGCACCACCTAGCCAGGGCATGAGACATCCTAGGAGACCTGGGTCTAGGTCAGAGGCTTCATTGACTGCTTTGAGAGTGATTTGGGGTCTCTCGACCCAGATTTGGGGCTTCGTGGGGAGTGGGAAAGTGAGGACATAAGAATGGGGTAGGTGCTGGGCTCCAGCTGAGGCTCAGAGTGATCAGCCAGCGGTGGACAGGATGGATCTTTGGGGGTCCCCCAAGGCAATTATAGTAAAGACTATGACATCTCCACTTCCCTGCCGGATTCCTGTGCCCATGACCCCCACCCCAAGATGAGTCACGTTTTCCACTAACTTTTGCTAAAGCATTAGGCAACTCCCGGCATGTTTGCTTCTAACAGAGGTTCTGGCTAAGGAAGGGGTGAGCTCACGAGGCCAGGACCACACTGGAGCATCAGGACATAAAGCAGTGTCTGGCCCACAGTAGGCTCCTAATAAAGCATGGGGAATGTTGCAGGAAAGAAGGAAGGACGGAAGGATTAACGTGTTAGCTGAAACGGGGGCATCCCGCCCAGGGAGATTTGCACCTCATGTCCGCAGAGACTGAGGAGGGGACCTTTCAGGCTCAAAGACTGATGGAGGAATGTCAGGCAGTGGGAAGATCTGCCTTTTTACTCCTTCCTTCCACAAACATTTGTCAAGTGATTGAGCACATACCCTGTGCCAGGCATTGTCCTAAGTGCGGGGGATATAGCAAGGAACGAAGCAAAGTCCCTGCCCTGTGGGAGCTGACATTCCAGAGAGTGAGTGACATCAGGAGGTGATGAATGGATTGAAGAAATGAACACAGCAAGATGGAATGAGGGTGACGGTGCGTGGGAGGGGGCAGGGAGACAGCTTTAGATGGGGTGGTCAGGACAGTCTCTCAAAAGAGTTAAGACCTAGGGGCGCCTGGCTGGCTCAGTCAATGGAGCATGTGACTTTTGATCTCGGGGTCATGAATTCGAGCCCCACGTTGGGCGAAGAGCTTACTTAAAAAAGAGAGAGAGAGAGAGAGATAACACCTTTAGCTGAGCCCTGAAGGATGAGCAGGAATCAGCCATGCAAAGAGCCGGGGGAAGAGAGCACCAGGTGCGGGGAGAACAGCTGGTGCAAAGGCCCCGAGGCAGGACCATATTAGTGTGTTTGAAGAGTTGAAAGGTCTGTGGCTGAAGGGCAGTGGGTGAGAAGGAGAGGGTAAGGACGGTGTTGGAGGTAGGCAGGCATCAGGGCCTGTGAGAGATTTGTATTTCATTCTAAATTTATGAAGAGTTTTCAGCGGGGAAAAAAACTTGACCAGATTTACATTTTCAAAAGATAACAGAGGGGACAGGAACGGAAGCAGAGAGGGGCTCTTGCAGTCTCCTAGGTAAGAAATGAAGGTGGTTTAAACAGACAAAAAAATCATGACAAAATATTAATATCCTTAATATGTAAAGAGCTCTTATAAATCAATAAGAAAATCACAAACAGCATAATAGAAAAATGGGCATAGGCTATGAATGGGGAAATTGCCAAAGAAGCAATGTAGGCAAGTTAGTGCCCAATTTCACCAATAACAAAACCATCCAACTTAAAGCAAGTAACTGTTTTCCATTTGCCAGATCAGCAAAATTTTATTTTAAAAAGAATTTTCAAGGTTATTGAGGGTGTGGGAAAATGTGCACTTTTACGTGGGGGTGGTGGACAGGTAAAGTGACACAATCATTTTGCAGAGAACTTGGAGAACATATAAAGAGCCATAAAAATCTCCATGTCCTGTGACCCAGAAATTCTGCCTCTGGGAAACTGAGAACATGATCAGAGATGTATGTGTGTTCTCTCATGGGGATTCAGGGAGCACTCTGTATGTCCGTGGGCCTCGGCTAGGCAGTGACGGCTCAGCAAGGAAAAAAATGGGCACAGGCACTGCTCATGCAGCTGACATTCTGGTGGCAGACAAGGGCCACAAACCAGATTAATAAGTAACACATAGAGTTTGTCAGATGGAGACAGTGCATGGGAAAGAATGAAGCAGGCGAGGGGTGGGGAATATGGGTGCAAGTTTGCGGAGTGTGAAATCAACCTAGACTGCCCACCTAGAGATGGTACCAAATATCATACAGCCCTGAAAATGCTATTTGGGGAGGGTGTTTAACGGCATAAAAACGCTCATGATGCAGCGTTAAGTGGCAAAGAGCAGAATGCAGATGTATCCACATGGAGGGTCAACTCTACATAGATAATCAATAGGTATTAATTTTGTGGAAGGAAAACTACCCATCGTGCACTGGATTTGTGCTCTGAAAAAAAAAAAGACCTTTCTAGAAAGAAATGATCTGAAAAGCTAGAAGTGGTTGGTTTTGGGAGGTGGGCCATGAGCTATTCCTCCTTTCCTTCTTTCTTCCTAAAGATTTTATTTATTTGAAAGAGAGAGAGAGAGAGAGAGAGAGAGAGAGAGAGAGCATGAGCGGGGAGGAGGGGAGCCGGCTGCGGGACTCGATCCCAGAATCCCCGGATCGTGACCTGAGCCGAAGGCATATACTTAACCAACTGAGCCGCCCAGGCGCCCCTTGCATTAGCTTTTTAATTTTCAGAACAGTCTTAGATTTACAGAAAAATCGAGGAGATAGCACGGGGGGACCTGGACCCATTCGCACCAGTGGGTAGCATCTTACATGATTAGCACCCTACCGCTTTTCCGTTAATGGACTGGTATTGATACCTTATTGTGAACTCATGAACGTAATCAGAGTTTTTGCATTGATCTGATTTTTTTAACATCTTGTCTTAAAATATTCTTTATCTTGATTCCTGAGTTTCTCTCTCTCTTTTTTTTTAAGATTTTATTTATTTATTTGAGAGAGAGAGAAAGAGAGCAGGAGGGGGGGGAAGGTCAGAGGGAGAAGCAGACTCCCCGCCGAGCGGGGAGCCCGACGCGGGACTCGATCCGGGGACTCCAGGGTCATGACCTGAGCCGAAGGCAGTCGCCCAACCGACTGAACCACCCAGGCGCCCTTGATTCCTGAATTTCTTGACGCGCCCTTAAATTTAGTCCCCGAGGTGCCTCAGCCACCTCACTCCTGCGAAGCCCTCTTTCTGTAGAACCGTGAAAACGTGACTGCCATGTCACGCTGTATCCCCTCTTCTCCTGGGCCAGGGTGGCGGTGTGTGGGTCTGCTGGCCCTCCTTCACCTGGCAGGGCTGGGGGGCCGGGGGTCGGTGTGGGGGGTCGCTCCTAGAGCCATTCCATTCACTCTTCCAGCGAGTGTTTCCCACGAGCCCCCTGGAGGCGGGACCCTGTCACAGCAGTGCCCGCAGGCGGATTCCCAACCCCTGGGAGCCCCCGTGGATAAAGCAGTCTGAGCTCAGGTCTTGGACGAAGCCTAGGTGGCAGGTGCACCCACTCTGGACAAATGGCCCCAAACATCACTTCTCTAGAACAAAGCGTCCTGCCTGTCGGGCTAGGCACTTCTGGGGGCACACCATTCCATCGCTCCCAGCTGGAGGAGGGAGGTGGTGGCGGCTTCACCCCCATCTCTCCGTGGATGACCTGGCCCCCGAGACCCAGACTCAGGGAGCCCACAGCCTCCTCAGCGTCTCCAGAGGGATGGTCGATGGCACCTCTGACCCAGGGGAGTCGACCCTGAGCCCCCCAATCTGCTCCCCGACAGCTGTGGGATACCAGCTGATGGCCACGAGAGCAGGTGCCAACCCCTGGACTTGTCCTGGCCGCTCCCTACCTGTCTCGTGCCCGGCCTGTTGTTGAGTCCCGTCAGCGACTCTGCCGACCCCTATCCCGACCCTGACCACTTCTCCACACCCCACCTGCACTGCCTGCCCGGTCGGGGCCTCCCTCGCTCACCTGGGCCAGTGCAGAAGCTCCTTGCCACCCGGCCTCCCCCTGCTCCCAGCCCTCCCAGTCCCCACACAGCATCCCGGGTGGAGGGTGCGGTGGGAGCAAAGCCTTGCGGGCAGACCAAGGTGTGGATTTCACCAGGGAGGAGTTGGTCTCTTTCCTTCGTGCGAATTCTCATTTCTCAGGGGGGCCTGTAGATTTTGAACAATGTGAACATTAAGAATTCAGCTCATGGAACCATTGAGAACACTTCTGGGTCCTCAGAGTGCAGATGACAGGAAAACAAAACAAAATAAAGATTCTATTCGAGATAGGACAGTCACATGGCCACACAGGACTTTGTAGTTACAAGACACTGCCACATTCAGCATAGGCCACAAATGTGCCCATTTCACAGATGAAGAAACTGAGGCCGGGACTATGGAGAGAGTCAGAAGCAGACAGAGTAGGGTAGCCCCAGGCTCCCGGGCATCTTCCTTGAACCCATGGCCATGGAAGGCAGCTGACAGGCTTTAAGTGTCCTATTAAGTTGGGGAATTGTTCTGTTTTCAGCAGAAGGTGTCCTGAGTCAGCCACCTGCTTCCGTCCGACCCTGGGGCTGCTGACCTTGCCCAGGCTACAGAGTCAGGAAGGAAGGAGCTCAATGGGGCCCGGCAGACAGATAAGGGGGTGCCTGCCTGCAAGGCCTGGGCCCAAGGGAGCAAATCTCAGCTCTTCCCAGCAAAATCAAACTAAATTGATGGCTTTGCATTGGCCTGCCCCCGGGGCCTTTGCTCTTCCAATGCCCTCTACTTGGGATGCTGTTGTATGTCTGATTTCCGCCCCCTCGCCCAACAAATACCCACTAGGATTGAGCCAATGTTGGCATTTGCTCCAGGACTGACAGGAGAGATGCTCTCCGGGCCTTGGGTCCAGACACAAGTGGGAGGGGGAGTGAGGTTAAAAACTCGTGGGCCACGGTCTCCCCTAGAGCAGCTGGGCCAAGAACCCCAGACCCCAGAGTCCTGGCTTGCTCTATGGGCTCTGCCTCCCCGCTGCTGTGTGGTCTTGCTCACCTCCCATCTCTGGGCCTCAGGGTCCTCATCTGTGAAGTAGCCTTTGGGGTGATGAGCTGTCCCATGTGGGAGGCTGGCCCAGGGGAAGGAGGAAGGAGCCCCAAGATTCATGCTGTACCCAGTCCCCAGACCCGGCCGGTTCCTCCCTGCGGCCGCTTGGTTGCTCAGCCCCTGCAAGGCCCACCCCCGCTCGGGCTGTTTCAGTTCCTCTTGGCCCACCTGTGCGGCTGCTGACAAGGGGCCCATGTGACCTGAGCAGGCCGGGCTGCAGCCCCATCGTAGCCCAAAGGCCTCCCTTATTTGCTCCCTGGTGCCTGAATCCCCACCGCCCTGATATGACACCCCCCCCCAGCTCAGATTATAAGGGCTGTTTAAAGGCAAGTGACCCCAGGTGAACCACCAGGAGGCACCAAGCTTAGGCTGGGGCTCCCCGACCTTCTGGGGGACTTCAGACCTCCACCCCATGGCTCAGTGCGTGGCATACGAATGCCGTGGAGTCCCCACGCTCAGGGGCACAGCTTGGGAACTGAGGCACCCCGGATCTGCCCCACAAGACCGTGTGGTCTGCTGGGGGCCTGGGGGACAGATCCTGAGAGTCCAGCTCCAGCCCCCACAAAGTTCAACCCGCTGACCTCCTCTGGGTCCCCAGCTGTCCAGCCTTGCGGAGTCTGTGACCCTCCTGGGGACAGGCTGTCCTGGGGCCTGAAAGCAAGCAGGACTGAGACATCAGACATGGTCCTTGTGAGCTTGGGCAGGTCCCCAACCAACCTCTGTGAAATGGGTCCTGGGATCCCCGACCTGGGGTCCTTGAGCAGCAGGACTTCGGCAGGTGGCAGTTGTCCCTCTTTGGTGACCGGGTGACCGTGTCTCTCCTGCCCACAGATCCTGAACATGGAAGATGACCAGAACTGGTACAAGGCTGAGCTCCGAGGCGCTGAGGGCTTTATTCCCAAGAACTACATCCGCATCAAGCCCCATCCGTGAGTGGCTGCCTCCCCAGCCCTGTGCTCAAGGCACCCCCACCCCAGCCCCTACAGCCCAGTGTCCCCACCTGGCCTGGCCCAGCCTGAGCCGAGCTGCCTGACGAGCTCGGCGCCTGGCGCGCGCCTTAGGCAAGGGGACTCCTTGCTCCGGCTTCCGTTCATCTGCCTGGGGCCCCTGTCTCTACCCTGAGCAGGGGCGAGGGGACAGAGATGTGAAGACCAAAGTGGTGGCAGAGTCAGGGCCGGCCCAGGCCACAACACTGAGGATCTGGAACACCGGGGAACATCCAGGAGGGTGCTGGGGGGACAGGGCCCCGGGCTCTCGGCTGGCTGGGCCACTGGCTGCCGTATGGTCTCTCTATTCCTCAGTTTCCCTATCCGTAACACAAGGAGGGCTGGCGCTTCAATCTGCAGAGGTTTCTAGAGCTCTCTCTAAGAGGCTGGCTCAGCCTTGTGTGAGGAGGAGGAGTGAAGGGGACAATGGGGGGGGTGACGGGAGGGTGGGAAGCAGATCCTGTGGGCCCTGCCTTTGGGGGTTTTTGGGGAGCTGGACGTTGGCTGAGCAGACCAATGCCCTGCGACTGGGGCAGATTAGGAGTCACATGTGGGGCCTAGGGAAGACCAATCGGGCTCATAGCAGGTGGCACCCCAGCCTGCCGCCCTGGGAATGGCTGGGGCAGAGCCCAGCCCCAGAACAGGCCCTGGCGGCCAAGAACCTATGAAAAAAACAACTGGATCTCCTCGGGATGGTGGTGGAGGTAGCCTCTCACTCAGTCATTCATCAAACACTAGCCACACCCCTGGGGGGCCGGCCTGGGTGATGCTGGAGACACATGAGGAGCGCCGGGGAGTCGGAACAGCCCCATCCTGGGGGAGAGACGGGATGTAAAAAAAGCACAAGATGGGAAGGCAGTCAGCCCTGAGGTAACCGGGGAAGGCTTCTCAGAAGAGGTAGCAATGAATGAGGTTTTGAAGGGCGCGTAGGAGTTAGCCAGGTAGAAGAGGAGAAAGGCACTCCCCGGAGAGGGGACAAGGAAGACGAGCACAAACCCATGGCAGTGGGGCCGGCAGGAGGGCCTCACATGGTGGGCCCGGGGGGGGGGGGGGGGGGGGAGGAGGGGGGGGGGGGGGGGGGGGGGGCCCCCGTCTGGTGTGGAGGGCGGGGGCAGGGCCTCGCAGGCTGGAGGGGGCAGACTGGAGGCCATGAGGTGTGTGTGACTGTGGGGTGGAAGGGGAGGGAGGTGCACCGCCAGGGCGGTGTCTGGTGGGGGGGGATGTTTCCTCTTTATCTGTCTTCGAGTTATTTCCAAAGCTGCCCCCGCCTCCAGCTTCCTGTGCTGGGCAAGCCCCATCCCACCCGGGTCCCCGGCTGGTCCTCTGCCTGGGCTCCAGGCATCCCCGGCCTCCCACACAGAGGCCGCCGCCTCCCGCCCCCATGCTGGGCCACAGCTCCCCGATCCAGGCCCCGTAGCGGCCCCCCCACCCCCGGGGCCATGTGACAGGGGGCAGGTGTCTGCCCCTCTGGCCTTTCAGAGTCTTTCTGCCAATCAAGGGAGGGCATGAGGGGGAGATGCCAGGCGCCTCGGGGAGCGACCACAGGCCGGTGGGTCAGGGAGAGGCCTCCAGGGGCAGGGAATGTCCCAGCCAAGGCCGGAAGCCCAGAAGGCCCAAAGGTGCTGGGAAGCCTTGAGCAGATTTCAGGGCAAGGCCAGGCGTTTCTGGGCACTGCTGGTGGTTGAGACAAGACTCTCTACCCATTGGAAGCTGTGGAGGGTCCCGGTGTCCGAAGCCCTGGGGGTCCCTGGGGTCAATTCTGGTCACTGGTGTCTGGGACAGAGCAGGGACAGGGCTCAGGCCCCCAACCAACCTGTCGGAGGCCATGCCCGGGTTTATTCTCGGCTAACCTCAGCACCTGCCCTGGCCCCAAAATAGCAAGGGGGGAACTCCAGCTCAGCATCTGACTCAGCCTGTCAGGCCCCGGGGTGTGGCACAGTGGAGGGGGGACTGGGGTCCCAGAGGGCCTCACTCGGCCTACACCAGCCCCGCTCCTTCCCTGAGGACCCACCGTCTCCCCTGCCTGACCAGGGAGCCCCTGGGGGGGGGGGAGGGCGTGATGCAGACTAGGGGCCCCCAGAGGCACCCACCAGGCGGTGTGCCAGTGGGCGGCAGGGAGGCTTTCCAGAAGGGCATGGCTCACTGGGCCTGGGAGTTAGAAGTTTGCCAGGGAGGGCAGCAGACAGGCCTAAGGGAGTGCTACGGGGGGAGGGGCGTGAGCTAGTTCATCAGGGCCCCCAATTTCCCAGGGGCCCTGCAAGCCAGCTGCCATCATCACGGTCGCATGGGCAAGGAGAGAGAGGTACAGAGAGGTTGGCTGGCTTGTCCAGGCGTGCACAGCCGGCAAGAGGAAGCATGGGACTCGCAGCCCTGTGCTGTGTGCGTCCCCCCTTCCCCCCGGGGTCGTGCCCACCATGGCGCTGGGGGAGGGCCTGAGGCCAGGGACTTGCTGGGCAACCTTTTGGGGATCCCTGCCCTCCTCCGAGCCTCAGTTTCCACATCAGTGAAATGGGGGAGGGTACGAGGTGGCCCCAAGAAGCGTGGCACTGGCATGGCGGAGAGAGGCGGGTTCTGGGGGCTTTGGGAAATGTCTGCACTCTGTCCTTCAAGCCCCCTGAGGACCAGCCCTGCCTTGTTCCGATGGGGGCGGAGCTGGCCCCCTCAGAGGGTGTGGTTGCAAAAGCCTTTGAGGGTGACGGGCGCCCACACACTGACGCCTCTTGTGGGGTTTTGTGGGTTCTTTGGAGACACCCAGGCCCTCAGGAAACGCCCCCTCGGGGCCCCACTGGGCCCCTGCTCCCTCACGGTGCCTGCACCTGTGTCCTGCTGGGGGCTTCCTGGTGGAGGAGCTCCCTTCCCCGGCCCCCCAGCTCAGCCTCTGGCCTGGAAGCCTCCATGCAGGCCTCCCAAACTCCAGGGGCCTGTGCTGAGCTTTCCAGATGGTTGCCTCGAGCCCCCACACTCAGCAACCATCCTTCACCGCCTTCCCTCCCAGGAAATCCATCGTGAGACGGGCTCCGGGGGTCCCCACCAGTTTGGGGACAGCAACGGGCTAAGCTGCACTTCTGGGTGTGGGCTTCCCAGAACCAGGGCCTGAGACACAGTGTGAGGACAAGAACTTTATTTCGGAGCGGGAAGTGGGCAGGGAAGGAGCCAGTCGTTAGGAGCGTGTTACCGGCGCAGCTGCGGGCGGGCGACAGGCACCCGGGGAGGGTGGGGAGACAGCACAGTGTCCCCAGAATGTTCCATCGGAGGCAGGGGAGCTGAATGTTTATCCACCTGCTTCCGAGGGGATAAACACAACACATCACAGTGTTCTGGGGGCTCAGCCCACCCTGTGCACAGTCGCTAGAAAAAAAGCCCCAGGGCAGGATCCCAGTGTTCGCATTTGGCAGGCGACACCGTAGGGAGCGGGGACAGGGCAGGACACCGCGGGGCGCTGCACCTGTTGCCTCTGCCCCCGGCTTCAAGGGCTCAGCAACATCCTGAGACAACAGGAAAAGTCCTACCTCACAGCCGCCCCGGGTGCCAAGCTCAGACTCAGGAAGCATTTGCTGAAAGAGGGAAGAGAAGCTTTACAAGGAAAGGAGCCTCCAGACCCCACCCCTGGGCTGCACTGGGCCTCAGTTTCCCCATCTGCACAATAAAGGGCCCAGTCAGAGACCACCTGGACGCTGCAAGGGCCGGTAAGGCCCACAGAGGCCAGGGAGCTTGCCTGGGCCACGCAGCAAGATGAGCAGGACTGGCAGAGAAGCTGGGTCCTGGCCTTTTGCCCCCACCCCAAGGCATCGGGGGTCGGGGGGGGGGCAATGGGGTCTTGCAAGACTCTAAGCATTTGCCATGGGAGCTTCTGCGTTCCCAGTTTATGTGGTCAGCCAGAAAAGGGACTTGTACCTGGGATGAAAAAAATCCAGGTGGCCTCAGTCTGTGCATCTGTGAAATGGGTGCAGGGAGCGATCCTTCCTCATCAGACCAAAGCTGCAATTGCTTTTGTCATCCATGTTTATGTTTTTTCACTTATAAGAATCTATCATCTAAAACGGAAGAGCTCAGCTGGGGTTGGCTGGGTGGAGGTTCACTAAGGTTTGATTTTTCTCTTTTCCTAAGGGGATGTTGGCCTGGCGCGGTGGGAAAGGCTTGGGCTCGGGAGCCAAACTACTAGGACTGGGTCCCAGGTCCTGCCTGCGCAGCATGTAACCTTGGGCTCGTCACTTTGCCTCTCTGTGGCTCGGCTTCCTCATCTGTGAAATGGGTGCAAATCATACCTCCTGTGTCTGGGGACTGCTGTGAGGGTCAAGCGACGTTGGTCGTCTGGCACATGGGTAAAGGGGCAGCCTGGCCTTCCCACTGCCCTCACCGGCGCCCTCTCTCTGCAGGTGGTACTCGGGCAGGATTTCCCGGCAGCTGGCCGAAGAGATTCTGATGAAGCGGAACCACCTGGGAGCCTTCCTGATCAGGGAGAGTGAGAGTTCCCCTGGGGAGTTCTCCGTCTCCGTGAAGTGAGTTCTGACCCGTGGGCGGAGTGCGGAGAAGGGTGCGCAGGGGGGCAGCATTGGAGCTGAGCCTGGAAGCACAGGACACAGGCTCACGGACCGAGGTGCAGGGAGTGGCATCCTTGAGGGAGGAGTAGCCCAAGCCTGGAAGCAGGTGACTGTCTGGGGATCGGGGAATGACACGCACCCCAGGGTGGGGCCCAGAGCCATGGGACCGTGCTTGAAAAGCAGGCTTGGGTCCACTGCAAGGTCTCAAGTGCCAGTGTGAAGGGTCTGGCTGGTATTGTGTGAGCAGTAAGGAGCCATCAAGGACTCATCGTGAAGGGAGGAAGAAGGATGCCGGGGTTTGAGGTGATGGGAACAGCTGGGGGCAGGAGGTGGGAGAGCACCAGGCACCCAGGGCAGGTGTCCAGGATGTGCTGCGGACAGGGTCCTGCTATACGGGTGCCATAAACAAGATGACGGACTACGAAGCCAGGCTGCTTGTGTTCCTATTCTAGTTCTGCCACTTCCTGGCTGTGTGACGTTGGGCAAGCCACTTAACCTCTCTGTGCCTGTTTTCTCTGATGTGAAATGAGTCAATACAAGGAATACATGAGTCAGTGTGTATATTTTTTGAGTCAACAGATGTAGCGCGATTAGAATAGTGCCCGACACTGAAGCGGGGTGGTCATGCTGGGAGGGTCTGGCTTTGTGACATGCGGCAGCCTCTGGGTAGTGCGGAACCCAGTACCAAAGGCCACAGCTGGGGAAATACAGGAACTCAGGCTGGAAGGTAGAAAACAGGAATAGGAGTCGGGGGTGAAGGGGTATGGTCTGTCTTTCCTATTCTCGGTGCCTGGAACAGTAGGATATAGATGCAGAAATTCAAGGACTGTTCATTAAGCTACATGTCATGGGCCAGGCTATTCTAGAAGCTGGGGAAATGACAGTACAAACTGCCCTTATGGACTTATGTCCGAGTGGGGGAGACAGACAGTGAACAAGGAAGCAAAAGCATCCAGCAGGAGTCAAGTGGTCAGAGACGGCTGCTCTGAGGAGGTGGCATTTGAACAAAGAGCTGAACCTGGAAGAGGAGGCTACCCAGGTGTCCGGGAATGAGGACCTGGGAGGGGAGACTTCTGGGCAGACAGAACAGCAAATGCAAAGGCCCTGAGGTAGGATGCACTTGGGGCGTGTTGGCATCCACAGGAGCAGAGAATCCAGATGGAGAGACGTGGGGGATACAATCAGAGACGGGGCTGACAGATCCTGGCAAGGAGGTGGAGTTTTCTCTCCAAGCAACAGGGAACCACCGAGCGTCTGGAGCAGGGGGAGGTGTGAGGGGCTTCCATTTTTCAGCAGATCCCTCTGACTGCTACGAGGAGGAAGGATGGTTGGCCAGGGAGGAGCCAGGCAGGAGGTGACGGTATCAGGGACTGTGGTGGGGACTGAAGGCATGAAAAGTGGCTGGATCAGGGAATGCCACAGATCTGTGAAGTCAGGGCCAGCAGCCATACCAGCGGTTAGGGTCTCCGTGGGCAGTGGGCACAGAGCCTGCATGGAGGAGGCGCTCACTGTCACTGAGAGCAGTCTTGGGGTGGCAAGCTTGCAGCTGGAAGGAGGCACAGGTGCTGGACTCTGGAGCTTGGCGGTGTGGCCCCTAAGAGGCCGTTTTCCTAGGACTGGGTTGGTTTGCAGCCAATGGCTTGATTGTCCAAAGGATGAATGAACCCGGGACCCCTTTGATGGTTGATGCAGGGGCTGGGGGTGAGGAGGTAAGTCAGTGCCTTCCAGGCTCTTCCAGACTCTTGGGTGAGCTGTGTGACTGGTGCACTGTTGGCTGGTCCATTTCTGTTCCGGATGGTGGTGTGCGATGTGCACACCAGAGTGCTGCGTGGTGGTGATCTCCTCGTCTGGGCCTGGCGGCACCCGTGTAGGACAGACTGCTTTGGTCAGGAAGGCTGCTGGGGGGGGGGGCGGGCTTGGGGGGCGTGTAAAAATGATCCAACATCATGAGAGGTCACGGCACTTACCTGATCCCCTCCAAGCTCTGCAAGCAGCCATGGGCTCTTTTCGCTTCCTTCCCCCGCAATCCCTCCCCAATGGGGAACAGGCTGGTTACCCTGGGGGAATGGGAGTGGCTCTGGCCGGACTTGAGCCTCTATTTCCCCATCTTAAAAATGGGAGCGCGGTCAGGGAGATGCTGTGAGTTCTTAGTCCTGACCCCACCCCCAACATTGCCCATGGTTGTGGACACATGGAGTGCCCTTCCCCCGGGTCACCTTCCCACTTCCACAGCCCAGCCCCCACTTCCCTCTGGGGTCCCTGCAAAAGCAGGAAATGTCAGTTTTCCATGTGCTGGCTGTCCAAGGACTTGGTCGTCTGGGAATGGCGCCCATCAGGCGGGCTGGGCCAGCTTCAGGTACCTCCCGGAATCAGTTCCAAAGTCCAAGATTATCCAGCAAAGCAGGGACACAGGGGACTCACTTCTGCAGCCGAAGCTGAGGGGAGGTGGTGGCCTTCCCAACCAGCCCCCAACGGCCCCCCTAATCCCCCCTCCCTCCTCTGCTGACTGATCACACTGCCTGAACTTCCAGCATTAAGTCCTTGTGCACTGCCCCCTTCTGGCGTTTCTCTGTAAATGCAGCCCCGCCTCTGCACATGCGCAGCTTCAGATCCAGGGAGAGAGAGAGAGAGAGAGAGAGAGAGCGAGAGCGAGAGCGAGAGCGTGAGTGTGTGTGTGTGTGTGTGTGTGTGTGTGTGTGTGTGTACAGGGCGGAGTCAAACCAAGGAGTGCGGTGGGAAAGTAGACACCGCCCGACCCAGGGGTCTTCATCATGATGGAGGTGACATCTGAGCTGGACCCTGCAGCCTGAGTAGGAGTTTGGTGCACAAAGAGAGGAGACGGTATGCAGGCACAGGGACCAGCAAGTGCAAAGATCCGGAGTTGGGACAGTGAGGGGTGAATTTGGATAGCAACAAGTTTGACCAGGAGGGACAACAGGCAGTAACAGGATGCAGTTGGTAAGCAGGGGAGCCAGCACCAATGTCCTGGGAAGAGGTCTGGGAGTGTCCTTCAGACAGTGGCCCCTCGGCGCCTCCCGCAAGGCGTTCTGGCCAAGCCAGGTCAGAACCAGCAGGAGCTTCCGGGGCTCAGCTAGCTGTGGTTTGCGCACAGCGCCACCAGGTGGCGTCCTCCACCCTTGGTTTCGTCCCGGTGGAGCCAGGACTCCTAGGTCCTGCTCCCATTCTCGGTCCATTGTCTCTCATGGGGGCGTTTCAGTGGCCCTTGGAGGATCACTGGGCAGGGACAGAGTAGGAAACAGACTCAGAGGGCATATATGGCTATGAATGTGGACTTTTGAGCAGGAATCTCAGCTCTGATACCTCCTACCTGTATAACCCTGGGCGAGTTACCTTCTGAGCCTGTTTCCTCATCTGTAAAATGAACATCCGAGTCAAGTGCTTAGTATGCTGCCTAGCACATAGTAAGTGCTCCAGAAATGCCGGCGATAGTAGTTATCATTACATTACCCTTTAAGAGCCACACAGTGCTTCCTAGCCCCCTGCCCACGAATCCGGGGCTATTTGAGAAGGGGCAGTGACACGGAGTGCCAGGGAACCCAGTTCTCGTCCTGACTTTGCTCAGAACCTGCTGTGAGGCAGGTCCTGGCTTTCTTCTTGGCTGTAATGTTTTCATCTACAGCATGGAGACAATAACCCCAGGTGTCACGAAGTCCGGGGACCCAGCGGCCCTCCAGAAAAGTGACAGCTGTGCAAATCCATGTGTGAAAGCATTTCCGCCCTCGCTGACTTGGCTCTTGGGGACTCTGGCCCCATGACACGTGGCATCTCCCACATGCTCATGCCAAGCTCCATAAAGCTGTCAGAGGTGGGGTTTATGGGCCTCGGGCTGCCTTCGTGGAATGATAGTGGCCACGCTGGATGCCCTTTACGAGCTTACAGAGGGCTACTTCCTCTCCACCTGCAGGGGCACGTCTGAGCGGGCAGCCAGCAAGACCAGTGAGCACGGCTGGGGCGCAGTGCCTGGGCTGTGTAACTTTTGCCCCACGCTCCCATCCAGGTTCCTCTGCTGTGAATGGCAGTTGGTTCCCAAGTGAGGTATTTTGCTTCCTTTCAGGCCAGAGGTGCCCTGGAGTCAATGCACGTGTGTTTGCTCTGGCCCCTGGGTACTTACTGTGCACCAGGCCTTGTCCCAGGTGCTTGGGATGCAGCCATGAACAAAATCGGACAAAGCTCCCTGTCCTTTAGGCACTCATTTCCACTGGGGTGACAGACAAGAAACAATTAGCAGATTATATAAAATCTTGGGAGATGATAAAGGCTCTTGGGAAAATGAAGCAGGACAGAAGAGGTGGCAGAAGGTGGAGGGCGCTACCTTATGCAGGCAAAGACCGAAAGGGAGAGGAAGCCATCCCCAGAAGCCTGGTTTGCAGGAGACTGAAGCTCAGAGAGGTGCAGTAACTTACCCAAGGTCACACAGCAAGGAAGCGCAGAGCAAGTGCCATTGACCTTCTGTGCCCGGGCAGACCCGTTCAACCTTCCATCCACCTTTTCTGAGTTCCAGAGACCCACGGGTCCCTGCCAAGGTCACTTTGATCCTGTTTCACACCTGCTGCAGTCCATGTATTCTACCCTTGCCCTTTTCACAGATGAGAAAACGGAGGCTAGAAGGACCACGCCTCATGGCCATCACCCCGCCGGCAGTTAGCATGCAGGCCTCTGCCCAGGAGGACCCACCACAGGCCCTAGTTGGGGCAGTCCTGGGGCTCCTGACCTTACCCCAGCCTTCCTCATCCTCCCTGCGCTGCCACTGTCCCCTCAGTTGCCGCCACCACCAGGCCAGAAAAACCTGCTGGGCAGGACAGGCTGCTGCTAGCATCAGGCCTCACTTGGTCCTTGAGGCTTTTGTGACAGCCCAGAGGCCAGGCCCTGCCCCTCAGCCCCCTGGGGAGGTGGCTGTGGGGGTCACACACAGAGATAGACACACCCATGGCTGCGAAGAAAGGGACCCACACGTGAAGTCACTGTGGCAGAGCAGAGAGGGAGAGGACCCCCCCCCAGAGAGAGGGAGGACCCCCCCAAACACACACACACTCCGATACGATGGAGATGGGCATACAGGCCAAGACACACGCACGAACCTCCGGGGCACTTGCCCCTTTCCTGTCTCATCTTCCGTTCTCTACTCGCTGATCCTCCTGTGTGATCAGGGAACACTTCGTTCTGGCTAACTTTCCAGGTGGTCACTTGGGGGAGATCTCGTTCACAAACCTGACCACAGCTTCTCCGCCCCCTTACCCAGAGGGGCCGGGCTGCCCATACCCCAGGCTCCTCTCTGGGGACAGCCCCGAGTCAGAGCCCTCTGCCTCTGCTGCACTGGGGGGCCCGGACACGGAGCCCTTGGGGTCCCTGTTTTCCTGGCAGATGCTCACTTGCCCAGCGTTTGGTTGAGAGACACTCCTCCCCATGCACCCCTGCCAAAGTCTAGGTAGGGGCTGGGGCCACCCCGATCCGGCTGGGACAGGGCACTCGGGAGTTGCCGGGCTCAGAGGTGCCTCAAGGAAAGTGCGTGGCCTCTGGGAGGCTGTGGCAGGCCAGACAGGGCAGGAAGCACCCTCCGCCTGCCCGCCCTAGTTCCGTCCCAGGAACATAGACCTGCGTGTCCCCCAGCCGACAGCACCGGCCCGCTTAGTCACCTGGGAACAATGCTTGCTGACAGCACACAAGCGGCTTTGTCTCAGGTTTGGGGATCTTTGCTCCACCGCCTCCCAGAGCCTCTTGGGGGCGGGGATGGGGGGGGGGACTGGCTCCCTTTGGAGCTAAGCTGCCCCGAGATCTGGATACCTCCTAGAGAGGCGGTTGGGTCTATTTCCGGGCCAGGACACCTGGAGGGCTGGAATCACAGCTCAGAGCAAACAGGAGAGGGTTTTCAGAAACAAACCACCCTGATGAGCACTTAAGCCTCGGGCCCTGAGCTCCATTCCCCGAGTTCAGCCTCTCCCAGCTGGGAGAGAAGTCTAGGGATTTGCCTAAGGTCACACAGCAGCCCAGTGGCCTCTTCCAGAGCCCACACCCTTAATTCCATAGCCCACCGCCGAGGGGGATTCACCAGGTCTCACGTCCCGCCGGGTCAGTGGGCCCGGCCCCTGCCCTCCCGGACCTGCCCCTTCTCCTGCCCGCAGGTGTCCCCCCACCCTCCGGGAGCCAGAGCGACCAGCTTCCCGGTGGGGATGAGGAGGGAGGCCCCCGGGGCTGTGCGGGCAGGGACAGGGCCCCCCGGGGGGGACCCTGGGTCCCGGCTCAGGGGGCTCCTCTCCCCCCAGCTACGGTGACCAGGTGCAGCATTTCAAGGTGCTGCGCGAGGCCTCGGGGAAGTACTTCCTGTGGGAAGAGAAGTTCAACTCCCTGAACGAGCTGGTGGATTTCTACCGCACCACGACCATCGCGAAGCAGCGGCAGGTCTTCCTGCGGGACGAGGAGCCCCTGCTCAAGGTAGGCGGGCGGACCCGCGGGAGCCTCTCCGCGCCTTCTGCCTTCCACAGGGGCCTCGACACCTGCTGGGGCCGGGGGTGGGCGTGGCCTCCCGCCCCGCCCCGCCCCTCGCAGCCCGGTGTCCCAGGAGGGGGGGGCCAGGCCCGGCACTGAAGTCCCATTCTGGTGGCACCGCAGTAGGATAAGCAAGGGTGGGAACGCAGAGGGAAAGAAAGGGACGGAACGGAGTGGACATTGCAGGGGCCACCCCGTGTCTGGCTTGTTCTCGGCTCGCGGCGGCGCCGTGCGTGGTCACAGTAGGTATGTGTTTTGAATGCACGAGGGTCCTGATACCCTGCGGAGCCTCCCGGGTGCCATGCACTGAGCTGGGCTTAGTCCGCTGGGGGCCTCATAGTCGCCATTGTACAGGTGAAGAAACTGAGGCTCCCCCAAGACCACCTGCGGGGTCGGCTCCGTCCTGGTTTGTGCCCCCAGGAGCTGGCCTTCGGTGGGGTGGGGGCAGTGTGAGGAGCATTCGTGGGCGACCTGCTGGCCGGGCTCGGGGTGTGATTAGAATGATGACACCAGCCAACAGGGTTATTAGCTCCGGACAGGTACTGTTTTCTTTGGGAAGGGGGTGTCAGCAAGGCCTGGGGCTAGAAGTCAGGACCCTAGGACCGCCCAGGTGAGCCAGGGCTCTGCAAAGGATACAGGGTGCGTATCCCGGGGAGGGGCTGCCGGGCTGCCACAGAGAAGCTCTCTACTCCTGCCTGTTTCTAGACCCCCCCACCATGTGTGACCTCACGGTCAGTTCAGTCCTCAACTGGGCCTCAGTTTCCCTGCTGTCCAAGAGAATGAGCCCCGGGGTCTCATGTGCCAGGAGAGTCAAAGAGTGCCTTGGGAGACCCCCATTAGTGTACTCTCTGTTGCCCCCAGGATGCTCGGCCTCCTCAGCCTGACCATGGGGGCTTGGCTTAGCTGTGAGCGCTCAGTCTTAGCGAGCTTTGCCCCCGCTAGGCCTCTGTCCCCGACCTCCATTCGCTCCCCTCCACCGTCGGCCAGATCTGCCTTTGGAGAATGTGAGGGAGCCAAGATGGAGCTGGGGAGGGTGGGGGCTGCCTGAGGGCTCCCCACACCCACTGCTTCACTCCGGCCTGGGCTCTGGGGTCACCCACCCTGTGGGATCCATGCTACCGCCGCCTCCTTCCTGGGCAGAGAACCGCTAATTAGGACCTGTCTGCTGATCCTATCACCCATCCTGGATAAGATTCCACAGGCTCAGAACAGAGATCCTGGTGGGGCAGGCAGGGCCGGGACACCGGGTATAATCGTCTCGGCGCCGGGCTGACGTGCCTGCAGAAAGCTCTGTCCTGCTGCCATTTGCAGTTGGGGAAACTAAGTCCCACAAGGGCAGGGTCTTACCCAAGGTCACCTTGGGGTAGAGATAGGACCAGAACCCAGGCCTGAGAGCTGGGAGCAGCTCTTTTTGGTGACACGCTCTCCCTCAAAGCCTGGTCAAGGGCAACAGCCGTCAACTCTGTTCTCAGCTACACAGCACTTGACAGTTTATAGGGCCTGTTCCTGCAGACCAGACAGTCCTGTTGGTCTGTGTAGACACAGTCTCTGTGCGGCAGACATTCAGGGGACAGGCAGCTGGGACTCTTGGGGTGGGGAGGCCATCTGTCTGGATTTGGATTGAGAAGCAAGTTCAAGCTCAATTCTGCTCTCCCACCCGCAGCCACTCACTTCTCCTGTTGGGGCCTCCTGAAAAGTCCCCACTAACCACCCCTTCCCCTTGCAGCCCTCCCAGGCCTGCTTTGCCCAGGCCCAGTTTGACTTCTCGGCCCAGGACTCCTCACAGCTCAGCTTCCACCGCGGTGACATCATCGAGGTCCTGGAGCGCCTTGACCCCCACTGGTGGCGGGGCCGGTTGTGCGGACGCATTGGCTTCTTCCCGCGGAGCTACGTCCAGCCAGTGCAGCTGTGACCGCAGTGGGGCCCGGGGGCGGGGACAGAGCCGGCAGATCATCCATCCACCAGACACTGAGGTCCAGAGAGAAGACATGGACACCCCGTCCCCGGGACCCACGGGACTCAGCCGACGGTCTTCGACCTGAACGTGGGTCTTCTCACTGCCGGGCTAGGCGCCCACTGCTTTGCAGAAACTGGAATGGGCCCCGGGGCCCAAGAACCACTGTGATGTTCAGTGCCCAGCAGGCAAGGGGAGCTCCCGGGGCTTCCCGCTGGTCTCTTCCTCTTGGCTACCAGCTGCAGGGTGCCCTTGGGGGAAGAAGCCCCCCCACCTCCGGCCATCACTGGCCCCAACCTCAGGGAGAGTTGAGGACTCCTAGGTTGCAGGCTTTGGGGGCTCTGCCCAAGGAAGCATGCGTGTGGTTCATGGGTTCACCTTGGGCTGACCATCTGCTGGGCCCACCTGCTCCACCCTCAGATGGCCCCTTGAGGGGTGCTGGCTACTGGGAAGGTGGCTTAGTGATGAGGGAGAGGATGGGGGCTGCACACCCGGTGGCCTGGACCAATGGACTGACTCCAGGTAGAGACCGACTTCTCGGCAGCCCCATGAAACTTTGGGCTCCACTTGGGTGTCCCACACCCCCGCCCCACCACGGACACTTTGTGGAGACCCACAGGAGGTGGGCAGTGATGAAGGACACAGAGGGAGGCTCTCCTCTCCAGCAGGCGCAACACAATGGACAAGCTCCATGGGGCGGGCCCAGGGCGCGGACCCTTGGAGGACCTGCCCACCCTGGCTCTCGTTTGCTGGGGTCCAAGTTCTGCCCAGACCCAGGCCCCCAAGCTCAGCGCAACTACAGGCCAGGTGGGAAGTCAGGGCCACGGCTGGACTGGAAGGTCTAACGGCATCTGGAATGGGACCCTGGCTTGAGGAAAGGTGGGGTGTCCACACAGAATGTGCAACCAGCAGGAGGTAGCAAGGGGCACCTGCCCAGGGCCTTGGCACCTTTGGGAGCAGGAAGAGTGAGGGGGACTCAGAAAGCGCTTTGGATGCCAGGCTGGTGGAGGAGGGGGCAGTGAGCGGGAAGGCAGGGAGAGGAAGATCTCATGGCAGCTGGGAGCACATGGGATGGGGGTAAGAGCCCAGGGAGGGGGCCCTAGGCTCGCCCTCTGCCCAGGGCTGGCCAGTGGCCCTTCAAGTCCTGAGCTGCTCCTGACCTGGGCCTGTGTTTTCAAAATAAAAACAGTAAACTGAGTATCAGGATGTTCATCAGAAATCTAATTTTCATTGCCGTCAAGACTACTTTGTGTGATTTTTGAAATACCACGTTCTTTCTGTTCATTGCCCCCCGACTTTTCCAGGGCCTCTGCTTTGCTGGCTCAACCAGTCCGTCCCTGGACGCTGACTGGCCATGGAGTCGTGAGGTGAGGGGAGTCCACACCTCTCTAGGTCTCGGTGTCCTCGTTAGCGAAAGCGAGGGGGACCTGAGAACTCCAAGGGCCTGGCCTTCCTGCCGGGGCCGGCATCAGGCGAAGTAGGCGTAGAAGAAGATGTTGACGCACATGAGCAGGATGGCATTGAAGCCACACACACGGGCCCAGAAAGCGTGCTTCTGGGGTGTTTGGCCATCACCTGGTGGGGGGCGGCAGAGAGACAGATGAGGGCCACAGGGCCACACCTAGCGCCCCCACCTCCCGGACTCCTGGGGTTGGAGCTAGAGTCAGGGCCGAGGGTCACACACCCACCTGCTTTGGCTCCCACGAGCACATCCTGAGCCAGGGTCCACCAGGTAAGGTTCTCAATCTGCAGAGAATGATCGGGATGGGGGTGTGGCAGGACAGGGCTGGGCCCGGACGGGGACAGGGGTCAGGGATGGAAAATGAGCAGCTAAGTTCAAAAAGGGACAGGGGTCAAGAGCTAGAAAATGCCGGAGTCGCAGAGGGTCAGGGGTCAGAATGGGACCAGCGTCAAACGTTTGTTGAAGGTCAGGGGTCGGGGTCAGGGGCCAGGGCAGGCTCACCTGAACCCCCTGGGGGGGTGGCGTCAGCAGGCTCCCGGCCACCACCACGATTCCACTGAGCACAAAGAGGACGACGGCAAAGTGCAGGTAGTGGATACTGCCAAGGATGGACGGCCGGGTGTCCGGGTCACCGCAGGGCGGGGCAGGGTGCAGGAATTCCAGGACCAGCCTTGTGGCGCCCACGGCCAGCCCCACCATGAGGCCCCAGAAGGCCCCCTGGGGAAGAGGAGGCAGGGCAGGTGCACCGTGAGGGGGAGGCCAGGGTTCCCCCAGCACACACACAGCCAGCGGGGGGGGGGGGGGGGGTGGGAGATGGGAGCCAGACAGCTCATCTGTAGGAAGAGCACCGAGCCTGCCCCCCACATCCAGTCTGCTGCCCCCCCCCCCCCATCCCCCACCCACCTGCTCATTGGCTCGCCGCCAGAAGATGCCCAGAACAAAGATGGCGGTCACCGGGGGGGCCAGGGAGCTGGTCACTGACTGCATGTAGATGAACAGCTGCCCACTGTTGGAGTCCTGCAGGACGGGAATCCAGGCCACGCTCACGCCAATGAGCACCACGATGACCAGCCTGTGGGCAGGTGGTGGGGCGTGCTCGTCCCTCAAGACCCTTTCTCATTCTCCCCCATCTCCCACGGTCACTGAGACTTGCTCTCCAGCTGTCCCCTGCCACCCCAGCTCCAGCCTCTTCCCCAGCCTCTGGTCCCCTCCTCTGGGAATGTGGCCAGCCCTGCCCCGCACTGAACCCTTCTGTGGCTTCCTGCCGCCTGCAGGTACAGCCCCCGACTCAGCCTCTCTGCTCCTTCTTGCCCCCCCGCAAGGTCCCCCCAGGCTCTCCCCTTTGTCCTCAAGCACCCGTCCCACTTGCTTACTGTCTGGCTCCCCGTCTGGGCTGGACGCACCAGCCCCTGGCACACAGTAGGTGCCCCGTAAACATTTGGTGGCTTCGAGAATGACCTGCAGCCTTCGCGTTCCAGCCAGACCTCCCCCCTGGCGGTTTCTCTAACACTGGTGGGACCTGGCAGGAGCGGTGGCCTGTGGCTGGCACACTCCTCACGCCCACAGCCCGGGGCTGCTGACCTGCACCCATCGCAGGTGACCTCTGTCCTAAGAGGGCAAGGGCTGGGGCCAGGCGGTCTGGGTCTGGGTTTCGGTTGGGACGTGGACTCCTCAGCTCTGAAGCCCAAGACTTCTGGCCAGAGGAGCCCCTTTGCCTCCCTACCCCGTGTGGACTCCTCCCTTTGGCTCCTGCCTGCCTCCCCTCTAGGTGGGAGCCCTCCACCGCAGGGACACGCTTCCTGCAGTCAGCAGCCGCCCGTCGGGAGCCCACCCGAGGGCAGCACACTGGGCCAGAAGCCCAGACTCAGTAACGAGTGGGCCCCGGTCCCTTCCCAGCACTGAGAGCGGAGCAAAGAAAGCAGATGAGCCTGTTACCCTGTGCTAGGGGTCTGGGCTGAGGGGGCCCAGAGGAAGCAGTAACCCAGGAAGGCTTCTAGGCAGAGGAGGACCTCCTCCAGTCTTGAAGAGCTGTGGGGGCCAGCTAAGGAGACAGAGCTGGGGTGAGGCGTCCCATCTGCTCCTCCTTGGCTGAGTACCCCTCGCCCCTGTGTCCCGGCTCACTTGGACACCGCTCACCCCCAAGGTGGGTGGTGGGCGAGGCCTCCAAGACCCTGCACAGGACAGCAAGGGCGAGCGAGGCCATGTGTGCCACTGGGGTGGGTCCTTCCTGTCTGCCTACCCGCCTGCCTCCCTTTCGTCCCTTCCAAGCCTGAGGGGGAGGGTGGAGGGAGGAGGTGCCACCTTGATTAAGGCTAATTAACCCTTAGCCTGGCAGGCGGGGGGGGCGGATACTGCCCTCTTCAAAGGCATAGGCGGGCTCCATTAACACCCGGCCCGCCCTGCCCTCCCCACATAGGCTCCTGTGTCCAACACCGGACTCAGCATCTCTGTGCAGGGCCCGGTGTCTCCAGAGCGGCCTGGACTGGGGCCCTTGCCTTCCCTCTGCCCTCTAAGGTTTCCCTGTCCAGAGGGACCGAAAGCCCAGAGGCTGTTCCTTCTGCCTAGAATACCCTTCCCCAACTCCTCCCCTGGCTGACCCCTTCCTCCTCCAAGGCTCAGCTCAAGGCCCTCCTCCTCCAGGAAGCCTTCCAACCCTATCCCTTCCCGCGTGCACACACACACTGCCATCAGGATGACTGACTGTCATCGTGGCTGCAGGGGAGCCCCTCAAGGGCTCGAGGTGGGGGCTTTGAGATCTTTCTGGGTCCTCCATCTTGTTCAGCTCTATGCAGGGAGGCATCGGGCACTATTTGTGGACCGAATAACAGACAGAAGGTAGAATGGTAGACAGACGGGGGTAGCAGGGGAGGGAAATGAAGGAGCAGAAAAGTACCAGGCGGTGGGGCCCGGCAAAGATCAGGGCCCCAGATGTGGGACTGTCACTTGCCCCAGGCCTGCGATGGCTTCTCTGGCCCCACCCGCACCTAGTAAGACTGTCAGGGTCATCGGCATGCCCTTGCCTGTCCCTGCCCCACAGCGGCCTCCTCCCCAGGCCTCCTCCTCCCACATGCTCTGCTGCCCCTCTCTCTGTACGTCCCATATCCCCTTGGAAGGAGGCTCCAGAGACCCAAGACCCCACACAATCCAGGAAACACAGCTTAAATAGTGTTGTTTTAGGGCAGTAGGAGGTTGGAGGTGTTGGCAGGGGTCCGGGTGTTTCAAGAGGGAGACGCGTTAGAGCTGAACCCTGGCCCAACACCTAGCCTTGGATCCTTTCCAACCTGATCAAACTGGCAGCCGAGAGAATTGGGACCCAGAGAGGGTGAGCAACCTGCCCCACAACACACAGCCGCGTGCCCACAGGCAGGCTGGCAGGGCCTGGGTTGGCTGGGGCTTGACTTGGTAGGAGAAGTGGGAAGGAGGGTCAAGAGCCCCCTGGCTGGGGGTGAGTTGGGAGAGAGGGGAGGCCAGTTTAGGACTTTGGTCTCAGGTGGGAGGCAGGAGGGAAGCCTGCTTCTGAGGAGGGCGGGAAGTCGGGGGCACTGGGGCGTCAGGTCCCCAGATGCTGAGCCTGGAAGGGCTTTGGAGGAGTCTGTCAGACGAGGGTGGGCTTCCAGGGCCACACAGCCACGGAGGAGAGGCAGGGGAACCACATGGCGGGCAGCGGAGGTCAAGGGGCTGGCCAGGCCCCGCTGACACAGAAGCATCCCGTACGGCCGGAGGGAGAGGCTCCTTGTTTTGGAGGAGGCGGTGAGCCTGCAGATGAGCTCACGCTCGCCTGCTGAGTGGCGTGTCCCAACAGGGACCTTCTGACAGAAGCTCGGCTGTTTTGCATCACTTGGACAACTGCTCGGAGCTCCAGGGGAGACCCCGCCCTGAGGTTGGGTGCCATGGGCCCAGAACCTGAGGCGGCGCTGTTGGTCAAGCTGGGCACCGGCCGTTGGGCCCCTAGACCAGCGGAGTGGGGGGCTGCATGGCTTGGAGGGACACAGGCCGGTAGGACCCGGGAGAGGACCCAAGCAGGCAGGCACACGCCAACCTCCTGTCACCCATTGCAGAGTTCACCCCAAAGGACTCCCAGGTACTCTGCCGAGTACCGGGATGGAGGGCTGGGCCAGACACAGCCCCTGCCCGTCCTCGTGGGAGTGGGGGGAGAGGGGGGCATCAGGGAGACACATGTGCTGTGGGAGGAGTCTGACCATGATCCCCTGTGGGAGGCTTAGAGGGGAGAGGGGCTCATTCCTTAGTCGGGGGTATCAGGGAGGGCTACATGGAGGAGGGAACACTTGGGCAGAGTCTAGAAAGATCGTGGGGTGAGTCGCTGAGGTGATAAGGGGGGGCACAGGCAGCGCTAGGAGGAAACGGCAGAAGCTCAGGGGGGCCAGGGACAGCTGTGACCTGAGTGTGGCCCCCCGGAGAACTGGCTCTGGGCCCCCTCTATCAGGAGGGCTAAGGGCTCAAATTGGGGGAAGACAGAGAGATCTCTGGGATGGTTGGGGAAGGGGGACTGTCCCTGGCAGAGATTCGCTCAGAGATGCAGCTCAGAAGAAGAGACACATCGAAGCTGAGGGCTGTTGTGACCATGGGGGGAGGGGGGCAGAGCCACATGGGAGGTGAGATGGACCTTTCTCCAACCCGCAAACTCAGACTTACCCCTCAAAGGCCCCCTCTGGTGGGGCCTCCCGGGCCATCCATCGTGCGGCTGGGGAAGCCCATGTCCCAGCCTGTCCCCGGT